TCAGGAAAAATGCCTCTAGAACAGTGTTTCTCAACCTTCCTAATGCCGCGACCCCTTAATACAGCGCCTCATGTTGTGGTGACCCCCAACCATAAAATTATTATTGTTGCTACTTCCTAATGGTAATTGTGTTGTTGTTATGAATCATAATGGAAATATCTGAAATGCAGGATGTATTTTCATTCACTAGACCAAATTTGGCACAAATACCCAATAACGCAGCTCCATGCAGTCATGTTGGCCTTGGAGGTGTCTATGGACAACACCAGCTCTTCGGCCTAGAAATTGAGCACCAACCCAGACTTGGACATGACTGGACTTAATGTCAGGGGAAAACTTTTACCTTACCTTACCCAATATGCCAAATTTCAATATTGGTGGGGAGAATTTATTATGTCATTTGATAGTTGTAGTTACTGGGATTTATAGTTCACCTAAAATCAAAGTGCATTCTGAACCCCACCAATGATGGAATTGAAGAAAACTTGATGCATACACCTCCCATGACCAAGAGAAAATACTGGAAGGGTTTGGTAGGCATTGGTCTTGAGTTTTGGAGTTGTAGTTCACCTCCATCCAGGGAGCACTGTGGACTCAAACAATGATGGATCTGGACCAAACTTGGCATGGATACTCAATATGCCCAAATGTGAACACTGGTGGAGTTTGGGGGAAAATAGACTTTGACATTTGGGAGTTGGTAGTTGCTGGGATTTATAGTTCACTTACAATGAAAGAGCATTCTGAATCCCGTCAATTATAGAATTTGGCTAAACTTCCCACGTAGAACCCCCATGACCAACAGAAAATATTGTGTTTTTTGATGGTCTTTGGCGACCACTCTGACACCCCCTCGCGACCCCCTCAGGGGTCCCGACCCCCAGGTTGAGAAACACTGCTCTAGAACATGGCCATATAGCCCGAAAAAACCCACAAGAACCTAGTGATTCCAGCCATGAAAGCCTTCGACAATACATGGCACTTGATTGTTTGCTGTCTGGAGTTCCCCTGTTTCTGAGTGTTGTTCTTTCTTTACTGTTCTGATTTTAGAGTTTTTAAATACTGGCAGCCAGATTTTTTATTTTTATTTTCATGGTTTCCTCCTTTCTGAAATTTTCCTCCTTTCTGAAATTTTCCACATGCATGAGGATTTCAATGGCTTCTCTGTGTGGTCTGACATAATTATTACCAGTATTAAAAATGCCAGAATCAAGACAGAATCAACCAAAATATAAATGTAATTGAATTACAGGCAGCCCCCAAGTTAACAAACAAGATAGGTTCTTTAAGTCTGTTCTCAAGTTAAATTTGATTGTGTATCTGAACAGGTACATTTTTTTAAGAATTATTTTTCCCTGCTTCTGCAAGAACAAATCTATCTTTAAAGTATCACCGTCTCCCTGTTTTTATGGAGGCTTGAAAAGTTACTTTGTCAGTCTGTAGCTCATATTCTAGCAACTGTAGCCAGACTAAAGTTACATCTACATTGCAGAACTGATGCACTGCAGTTTGACACCACTTTAACTGCCATGACTTTGGAAATGTGAAGCATCAGCGTTCTTTGCCAGGGAAACCTAAAAACCTTGCAAATCTGTAACTCCTGATTCCCTAGCACTGAGTAGTAGCAGTTAAAATGGTGGCAACCTACATTAATTCTACAGTGTAGATGCAACAACATGGCTTTTCCATGCTCTGTATGAGCTTTCGTGACGTGCAGCTTATGTCATCAGATGTATCAGCTTCAGCCAGAATTCATGGAAAAGTCTACAACAGCCACTAGTGACATTCACAAAACTTTTACTGTTGCCAATGTTTTTCAGGACCCCAACACTGAGCTTTCTTTAAAACAGTGGCAGTCTCCTTTTACCTCCTGGTACTTACTTTTTTTAAAAAAAGCAGAGGGTGGATGGTCATCTGTAAGGAGTGCTTTGATCGTGTATTGCCACATGGCAGGGAATTGGACTCCTGGTACCTCTTCTTTTTTTAAACGGAGGCTGGATGGCCATCTGTCGGGAGTGTTTTGATTATGTATTCCTACATAAAAGGGAGTTGGACTTCTGGTATTTTTTTAAAATCAGATGCCAGATGGCCATCTGCTAGGAGTGTTTTGATGGTGTATTCCATCATGGAAGAGAGTTGGACTCCTGTTACCTTTTTTAAAAAATCAGATGCTAGATGGCCATCTGTTGGGAGTGTTTTGGTGGTGTATTCTATCATGGAAGGGAGTTAGACTCCTGGTACCTTTTTAAAAATCAGATGCTAGATGGCCATCTGTTGGGAGTGTTTTGATGGTGTAATCCATCATGGAAGGGTGTTGGACTTCTGGTACATTTTTTAAAAAATCAGATGCTAGATGGCCATCTGTTGGGAGTGTTTTGATGATATATTCCATCATGGAAAGGAGTTGGACTCCTGGTACCTTTTTAAAAAAAATCAGATGCTAGATGGTCATCTGTTGGGAGTGTTTTGGTGGTGGATTCCATCATGGAAGGGAGTTGGACTCCTGGTACCTTTTTAAAAAATCAGATGCTAGATGGCCATCTGTCGGGAGTGTTTTGATAATGTATTCCATCATGGAAAGAAAGGAGTTGGACTCCTGGTACATTTTTTAAAATCAGATGCTAGATGGCCATCTGTCAGGAGTGCTTTGACAGTGTATTCCTATATGGCAGGGAGTTAGACTCCTGGTACCTTTTAAAAAAAATCAAATGCTAGATGGCCATCTGTTGGGAGTGTTTTGATGGTGTATTCCATCATGGAAGGGAGTTGGACTCCTGGTACGTTTTTAAAAATCTGATTCTAGATGGTCATCTGTCGGGAGTGTTTTGATGGTGTATTCCATCATGAAAAGGAGTTGGACTCCTAGTAAATTTTTAAAAATCAGATGACAGATGGCCATCTGTCAGGATTGTTTTGATAGTGTAATCCATCATGGAAGGGAGTTGGACTCCTGGTACCTTTTTTAAAAATCAGAGGCTAGATGGCCATCTATTGGGAGTGTTTTGATGGTGTATTCCATCATGGAAGAGAGTTGGACTCCTAGTACTTTTTAAAAAATCAGATGCTAGATGGCCATCTGTCGGGAGTGCTTTGACAGTGTATTCCTGTATGGCAGGGAGTTAAACTCCTGGTACCTTTTAAAAAAATCAGATGCTAGATGGCCATCTGTTGGGAGTGTTTTGATGGTGTATTCCATCATGGAAGGTAGTTGGATTTTTTAAAAATAAGATGCTAAATTGCCATCTGTCAGGAGTGCTTTGACAGTGTATTCCTGTATGGCAGGGAGTTAGACTCCTGGTACCTTTTAAAAAATCGGATGCTAGATGGCCATCTGTCAGGAGTGCTTTGACAGTGTATTCCTGTATGGCAGGGAGTTAGACTCCTGGTACCTTTTAAAAAAATCAAATGCTAGATGGCCATCTGTTGGGAGTGTTTTGATGGTGTATTCCATCATGGAAGGGAGTTGGACTCCTGGTACGTTTTTAAAAATCTGATTCTAGATGGTCATCTGTCGGGAGTGTTTTGATGGCGTATTCCATCATGAAAAGGAGTTGGACTCCTAGTAAATTTTTAAAAATCAGATGACAGATGGCCATCTGTCAGGATTGTTTTGATAGTGTAATCCATCATGGAAGGGAGTTGGACTCCTGGTACCTTTTTTAAAAATCAGAGGCTAGATGGCCATCTATTGGGAGTGTTTTGATGGTGTATTCCATCATGGAAGAGAGTTGGACTCCTAGTACTTTTTAAAAAATCAGATGCTAGATGGCCATCTGTCGAGAGTGCTTTGACAGTGTATTCCTGTATGGCAGGGAATTAAACTCCTGGTACCTTTTAAAAAAATCAGATGCCAGATGGCCATCTGTTGGGAGTGTTTTGATGGTGTATTCCATCATGGAAGGGAGTTGGATTTTTTAAAAATCAGATGCTAAATGGCCATCTGTCAGGAGTGCTTTGACAGTGTATTCCTGTATGGCAGGGAGTTAGACTCCTGGTACCTTTTAAAAAATCAGATGCTAGATGGCCATCTGTCAGGAGTGTTTTGGTGGTGTATTCAGTTGTGGAAAGGAGTTGGACTCCTGGCACCTTTTTAAAAAATCAGATGCTAGATGGCCATCTGCTGGGAGTGTTTTGATGGTGTATTCAATCGTGGAAAGGAGTTGGACTCCTGGCACCTTTTAAAAAAATCAGATGCTAGATGGCCATCTGTTGGGAGTGTTTTGATGGTATATTCCATCATGGAAGGGAGTTGGACTCCTGGTACGTTTTTAAAAATCAGATGCGAGATGGCCATCTGTTGGGAGTGTTTTAGTGGTGTATTCCATCATGGAAGGGAGTTGGACTCCTTTTACCTTTTTTAAAAATCAGATGCTAAATGGCCATCTGTCAGGAGTGCTTTGACAGTGTATTCCTGTATGGCAGGGAGTTAGACTCCTGGTACCTTTTTTAGAATCGGATGCTAGATGGCCATCTGTTGGGAGTGTTTTGATGATGTATTCCATCATGAAAAGGAGTTGGACTCCTAGTAAATTTTTAAAAATCAGATGACAGATGGCCATCTGTCAGGAGTGTTTTGGTGGTGTATTCCATCATGGAAGGGAGTTGGACTTTTTTTAAAAAATCAGATGCTAAATGGCCATCTGTTGGGAGTGTTTTGATAGTGTATTCCATCATGGAAGGGAGTTGGATTCCTGGTACGTTTTTTGAAAATCAGATTCTAGATGGCCATCTGTTTGGAGTGTTTTGATGGTGTATTCATTCATGGCAGATTCTATGGAGCCCTAGCAGGGACAAGGTGAGCCATTCATGAAACACTTTCCCCTTAACTTTCCCCCAGATCCTCCTCCCCACCCGCCTCTATTTCCCTGCTGGATTCAAAGTTGCCCTTTTGGACCAAGGATGAATCCTACATTCAGAGCACGGGTTCAACCTCCCAGAGTCTCCAGGGGCGGGCGGGGCGTGACCACTGGGGCAAGGAGCCTCCTTGCCCTAGTGGCCACGCCCCCTTCCGCCCACGCCACGCAAAGTCCGCACGTCTGATCCAGACAGAAGCACAACCTGTGGGCTCAGCGGCTGCAACAGCAAGCAAGCAAACATGGTGAGTCCATAGGCTCCCTTTTAACTGCTGGGGATTGACACTGCTGGAGGAAGCTTTGAAATAGGCAAAGCAAGCCAGGGCTGGGAAGTTAGTTAGTTAGTTAGTTAGTTATTCCTTAACTCCAATCCATCTGCATTGAGTCCATCTCTTTACTGTAGAATGAATGCAATTTGACTGCCATGGCTCAATGCTATGGAATTGTGGGAGTTGTAGTTTGACAGGGTCTTTGTCTATATACATCAAAATGTAATGTTCGTTTGTGGGATTCACAGAACTCAAAAACCACTGGAGGAATTGACACCAAATTTGGACACAAGACACCTAACAACCCAATGTCTGTCCTTCACTCAAACAAATTGATTTTGTCATTTGCTGGGATTTATAGTTCACCTACAATCAAAGAGCATTCAGAATCCCACCAAGGATGGAGTTGAACTAAACTTGGCACACAGTTCTCCCATGACCAACAAAAAATTCTGGAAGGGTTTCATCGACAATGTCCTTTGGTTTGGGAGTTGTAGTTCACCTACATCTAGAGAGCACTGTGGACTCAAACAATGAAGGACCTGGACCAAACTCTACACGAATACTCAATATGCCCAAATGTGAACACTGGTGGAGTTTGGGGAAAATAGAATCTTGACATTTGGGAGTTGTAGTTGCTGGGATTTATAGTTCACCTACAATCAGAGAGCATTCTGAACCCCACCAATGGTGGAATTGAACCAAACTTGGCACACAGTTTTCCCATGACCAACAGAAAATACTGGAAGGGTTTGGTGGGCAGTGTCCTTTGGTTTTGGAGTTGTAGTTCACCTACATCCAGAGAGCACTGTGGACTCAAACAATGAAGGACCTGGACCAAACTCTATATGCCCAAATGTGAACAGTGGTGGAGTTTGGGGAAAATAGAATCTTGGCATTTGGGAGTTGTAGTTACTGGGATTTATAGTTCATCTACAGTCACAGAGCATTCTGAACCCCACCAACAATAGAATTGGGCCAAACCTCCCACACAGAACCCCATGTGGGCCACAGCAACGTGTGGCAGGGGGCGGCTAGTAAATAATAAATGAGCCTTCCACCAAACTACAAATTCCAGGATTTCATTGCAGTGAAAGTGGGCTCAAACTTCTTATATGTCGCTGTACCCTTGAGTTTCCTGGAGTCCATCCACACTGTAGAATTAATGCCCTATAGATGTAAATGTAGAATTAATGCCCGGTGGCGCAGTGGGTTAAATCGCTGAACTCCTAAACTTGTTGAACCCGCTATCAGCCCCAGCTCCTGCCAACCTAGCAGATCGAAAACATGAAAATGTGGGTAGATCAATAGGTACCGCTCTGGCAGGAAGGTAACAGTGCTCCATGCAGTCATGCCGGCCACATGACCTTGGAGGTGTCTACGGACAGCGCCGGCTCTTGGGCTTAGAAATGGAGATGAGCACCAACCCCCAGAGTCGTGTCCGACTCTGGGGGTTGTCAGGGGAAAACCTTTACCTTTATCTAGATATAGCTGCTGAGCTTGTTGACCAAAAGGTCGCAGGTTCGAATCCGGGGAGCAGGATGAGCTTCCGCTGTTAGCTCCAGCTCCTGCCAACCTAGCAGTTCGAAAACATGCAAATGTGAGTAGATCAATAGGTACCATTCCGGCGGGAAGGTAATGGCACTCCATGCAGTCATGACCTTGGAGGTGTCTATGGACAATGCCGGCTCTTTGGCTTAGAAATGGAGATAAGCACCACACTCCAGAGTCTGACTTGACTAGACTTAATATCAAGGGAAACCTTTATCTTTACCTAGATTTAGAAAGGCATTGTTAGGAATGACCTGTTGTTTGCATCCTTATCTGTCATCTTGTTTTGCCTAATACAAGATCCTAGAGTTAGAAAGGGTTTCCATCCAATCCAAACCCTTACTATGTAGGAAAACACAATCAAAGCACTCCTGACAGATGGCCATCCAGCCTCTGATGAAAAATCTTATACTATGAACAATGTAGAACATCATGCTTCAATATCTTAGATTCATAGAATCAGAGTTGGAAGAGACCTCGAAGGTCATCCAGCCCAACCCCCTTCTGCCATGCAGGAACACACAATCAAAGCACACCCGACAGATGGCCATACAGCCTCTGTTGAAAAATATTATACAGTAATCAGTGTAGAATATCATGCTTTGGTATCTTAGATTCATAGAAGAGTTGGAAGAGACCACTAAGGTCATCCAGTCTAACCTCCTGCTATGCAGGAACACACAGTAAAATCACTCCGGACAGATGGCCATACAGCCTCTGATGAAAAATCTTGTACAGTGATCAATAGAATATTATGCTTCTGTATCTTAGATTAATAGAATCATAGAATTGGAAGAGACCACTAAGATCATCCAGCCCAACCCCCTTCTGCCATGCAGGAACACACAATCAAAGCACTCCCGACAGATGGCCATACAGCCTCTTGAAAAATATGATACAGTGATCAGTGTAGAATAGCATGCGTCACTATCTTAGATTCATAGCAGAGTTGGAAGAGACCACTAAGATCATCCAGTCCCAACCTCCTGTTATGCAGGAACACACAATTAAAGCAGTCCCGACAGATGGCCATAGAGCCTCAGTTAGAAAGTCTTATACAATAATCAGTGTAGAATAGCATGTTTCAGTATCTTAGATTCATAGAAGAGTTGGAAGGGACCACTAAGATCATCCAGTCCCAACCCCCTGGTATGCAGGAAGACACAATGAAAGCAGTCCTGACAGATGGTCATACAGCCTCTGTTGAAAAAACTTATACAGTGATCATTGTAGAATAGCATGCTTCACTATCTTAGATTCATAGAAGAGTTGGAAGAGACCACTAAGATCATTCAATCCAACCCCCTTCTGCCATGAAGGAACACACAATCAAAGCACTCGCGACAGATGGCCATACAGCCTCTGTTAGAAAATCTTATACAATAATTAGGGTTGAATAGCATGCTTCAGTATCTTAGATTCATAGAATCATAGAGTTGGAAGAGATCACTAAGGTCATCCAGTCCCAACCTCCTGCTATGCAGGCACACACAATTAAAGCAGTCCCGACAGATAGACATCCAGCTTCTGATGAAAAATCTTGTGCAGTCATCAATGTAGAATATTACGCTTCAGTATCGTAGATTCATAGAATCATGGAGTTGGAAGATATCTCTAAGGACATCCAGACCAACCCCCTTCTGCCATGCAGGAACACACAATCAAAACACTCCTGACAGATGACCATCCAGCCTCTACTTTAAAACTTCAAGAGAAGGAGACTCCGATCATGCTCCAAGGCAGCATGTTCAGAGCCAAACAACTCTTACTCTTAGCATCTCTCAGACTGACGTGATCTATTTTCGGCTGATTTGTAAACAAAGACATTTGTGATTGTATAAATAAAGATTATTTTTTTTTATTATTATTATTAGCTGTACCTGCCACGTGTTGCTGTGGCCAACCTTCCCTCTTTCTCGCCTTCTTTCCCTCCTTCCTTCACTCCCTCTTTCTTTCATTCCCGTCTTTCCTTCTCTTCTTCCTTCTCTATCTCTTTCCTTCTTTCCCCCTTTTCTTTCTCTTCTTTTGTCTCTCTTTTTTTCCTTCTCTTTCCTTCTTTCCTTCCCTCCCTCTTTCTCTACATCTTCCCCTCTTCCTTTGCTCCCTCTTTCCTTCCTTCTTTCCTTTTTTCTTTCCTTCTCTCCTTCCTTCCTTCTGTAACTTTCCTTCCTTCCTTTCTCCTTTTTCTTTCCCCCTTCTTTCTCTCCTTTCTTCCTTCTCTACCTCTTTCCTTCCTTCTCTCTTTGCTTCCATGCTTCCTTCTCCCTTTCCTTCTTTCTTTACCTCCTTTTCTTTTCTTTTCTTTCTTTCTTTCTTTTTCCTCCCCTTCCATCCCTCTTTCTTCCCTTTTTCTGTATTGTCATGTAGCTTTTCATCATTTAGCTTTTGGGGGCTTTTTAAGTCCCTTCTGCTGTGTTTTTTAGTGTTTTTATGAGTGAAGGACATACATTGGGGTATTAGGTGTATTGTGTCCAAATTTGGTGTCAATTCCCCCAGTGGTTTTTGAGTTCTGTTAATCCCACAAACGAACATTACATTTTTATTTATATAGATTATTATTTGTCATGTCAGGAGCAACGTGAGAAACTGCAAGTCGCTTCTGGTGTGAGACAGTTGGTCGTCTGCAAGGATGTTGCCCAGGGGACGTCCGGATGATTTTGATGTTTTTATCATCCTTGTGGGAGGCTTCTCTCATGTCCCCGCATGAGGAGCTGGAGCTGATAGAGGGAGCTCATCCACCTCTCCCCGGATTCGAACCTGCGACATGTCAGTCTTCAGTCCTGCCGGCACAGGGGTTTAACCCACTGCGCCACCAGGGGCTCATTATTATTATTATTGATCTCCATAGCTGCAGCTAGTTTCTCCTGGGAACCCTCCTTGCCACTCAGCTCTTCACTCGATTCCTTATCTGCTGTTGCTCCTTCTGGCTCCTCTAACTGGCCTTGAGCCCTGCACTTTCTGAGCCAGTCTTTTCACAGATTGACCCATCATTTCCTTGACTTGAGGGCCATCACTTTGTGCCACAGGAAAGCTCACAATCCCTCGCAAAATCATCACTTAAACCATCAGCCTTTGACTGATCTACAATACACTGTTGATGTCTCATCAAACTCCAACTTGCATGATTCAGGAGCCCTCGGTGGCGCAGTGGGTTAAACCCCTGTGCCGGCAGGACTGAAGACCGTCAAGTCGCAGGTTCGAATCCGAGGAGAGGCGGATGAGCTCCCTCTATCAGCTCCAGCTCCTCATGCGGGGACATGAGAGAAGCCTCCCACAAGGATGATAAAACATCAAAATCATCCAGGCATCCCCTGGTCAATGTCCTTGCAGACGGCCAATTCTCTCACACCAGAAGCGACCTGCAGTTTCTCAGGTCGCTCCTGACACGATAAAAAAAAATAAACTGAGCCATGGCAATTCAAATG